CTGCATCTCATGGGCTAAAAGACCGCCAAATTATCCAAAGGCGTCATTGTTCGGAGGCACCATTTTCATAGCCCGAGAACGCCATGCCATGGCCTGAGGATCTCCTTTAATCTTTTGCATATCATTATTCAAAGGCATCATAGTTCAGAGGCATCATTCTCATAGCCTAAGAACATCATTTCATGGCCTGCGAATCCTTTATTATACGCTTTATGGCCCAGGACATCATGGTCTAAGGACGTCATCCTAACTGCCTAGAGAGAACATTCATGGTCCGATGAGAACTTGCATCATGTTTAAATTTACGCACAATATATGCTTGTATTACTTATTTGCAGGTAAACCGACGAGCAACGACTATCTCAGCAGGAGCGATCCTGCTCCAGTTCCCGCAGCCTATCAGACTCTGACCATCCTTTCTCAACCTGAACATCACGTCCGCTTTTTTGAAAAATCTCCATCGGCATACTCCGTCGATGGATCCTGAACTACATATGGCCTTATTCCTGTAATACCAGGGATATGTAGGAAGCTCAAAAGCCAGAGCTCGGTAAAAAATCTTCAAAATCATTTCATTCGGTCAAAATTGGCCATCATATCTTTACTCGACAACTCTTTCATCCTTCGCGGGTAAAGAGGGGCAGCTGTTGATACCCAATTTTCCCTATGTATTTATTATAATTTTAAAATAGCATGTACATGCATATATAAAAATGCCCAAAAATTTTGGTATTTTTTTCATAATCTTTGAGATTTTTAAAATCAATTTATTGTCTATTTTAGCAGTACAAAATCCAATAATTATTTCCAAGATCATTATTTTGATGAATAACTTATTTTATTATCATAATTACACCAAAATATAATTAATGTGATTTTTTTATATTTTCTACAAATCTATTTGGTATTTTTAAGCTAAATTGCATGTAATTGCAATTATAGCCTATTTCAGGATTAGTAGCATTTTATAATTATAAAATCATTTCCACTATTTTTAAATTAATATTTATATAGTATTTGTTGGCTCATTATTTTTAATTTACTTTTAAAATTATTATTACTATTTTTATAAAATAAAAAGGGAAAATTGACAATTTAACATTTAGCCTATTTCTATTTCAATTACATCCTCATTTCCTTTCAATTTTAACGTTAAATTGACCCCAATTCCTCCCCAAATTAAACCAGCCCAATTCCTAAATTACCCGACCCCTGACCGGATTTAAAAACCCACCCGACCCCCCTTTGATCCAGGTCGTTGATCATTTTGATCAACGACCATAAACTCCCCTTTCTTTTTTTAATTCCCAAACCCCCCTTAACCTAATTCATTTCACCTGAGATGCCGCCTTTGAATCCTATTCATCTATCAAACTCTCTAGAGCCTCTTCGAAAGCCTAATCATGTCACGCCCTAAAAACCGAGGGGCGCGACCGATGCCCGACCAGGTAGCCCCAGCCAGGCGGACCTGGGTGCCTTTCCTATCCCACGCGTACCCCGTATTTCCATTGTCCATTAATCAAATAAAATAGTCATTTATAATTAAAACACCCTTTTTACAAAACATACATAGCCACTTAATGAGGTTTACAACTTACAACGCCCAATATACAAAATACATATTTACATAAGTTCGCAACCCACATTCACTATCTACGGAGCCTCTAAGGATACAAAAGGATGATACAATACTTGCTGGTAACAAGGCTCCATCTATACCTTACACCAAAAACCAAAACAAGACTCCGAAATAAAAAGCGGCATGAGCCACGCAAGGCCCCGGGAAGAAAAGGGCTCACCAATGCTTCTGGCGGAAAGTGAAGGAGAGCTACGGTCGGTGGACTGGAGTACCTGCTATGGATCCACCTACAATCATAACACGAATGTAGCGCCCCCGGCAAAAGGGACGTCAATACATTTGAATTGTACTGGTATGTATGAACAAACTTGCCCTAAGTAAACTCAAACCATACACAAGTAACAAGTAGTAATGGAATCAACAATCAAATACACATGAAAGAAAACAATCAAGCCAAACAAGTTACAATCTCTATATTTCTCCTTCAACATTTTCACATCAATGACTTCACAACTTTTCTCATATTTTCATTTCAATAGTGATTTCGTTCACTTTCCACCCTTATTACCTCGACCACCCTTATTAACCAACCCACACTTTATCAATTTACGTTGCGGCGGGCAACCCGATCCCACCTGACAATTTATCTAATTATGTTGCGGCACACAACCCGATCCCACCTGACAATCCTATTTCACACAATAACAGTAGTCCACAGTTCAATCACATGGCTTCAGGCCATCCAAAATATCATTTCACAACATCAACAATTCACAAAAAATTTCATAAATATCAATACCAATTCCATCATATACAACAACCGTATACAATTCAAATCACAACGATAACTGCCCACAACGAGTCATAGATGATATTACCACTATTGTTTCAATTGCATCAATTACGATTTCTTTTCCATCATCTGTTACACAGCTCTTACCATATAACACATTCACAATCACACATTTGGTTTATTGCCACTTACGTACACCATTATATCGAGAGACTTAACCACGAACAATCAAATCATACCAATCACAAGAATTCCACAAATAATCCACATAGATATCACATACCAAATATTCGTACACCAAACAAGGTGACAAACTTAGAATTGAAGTTCACAAACTCAACCCAAAACGTTCCTAGGTCATCAGTCCCTCTTTTACAAATCTTTACTTCTACCCACTTCCTCTTACTAGATTTTGGTAAGGACATGCGGTTGTATTTCAACCTCTATTTTCAAGAATCAATGCATGAGAATCCCCCTTTTTGTTTAAATCTAAAAATAGATGAAAAGGGGTTGGGGATTTTACCTGAAAGAACGGAGATGAAGACAATTACTTGAAGTTTCCTGGCCTGGGTGACTTTGAAAAATCAAATTGATGAAGACAAGACTTTCTCTCTCAAGAATTCTCTCTTCCCTCTCTCTAGTTTTGTTCAAAAAATGTGATAAAATGAGGGGTTGGGGTGTTTTAGTGAACATGGGGTCGGGTTTAAAAATTTAAACAATAGGAGCCCGAGTTAAGTATGTGATCGCATAGTGGAAATGCGGTCCACAGAATTGACCACAAAAGTGCTCCCAAAATCTGAACACACTGCCTAGGTATACGGCAGAAATGCGTTCCGCATACCCGTTATGTGGTCGCATAATGCACCGCAGAACTGTCCCTCACAAAATACCAATGGAAATATGTGACAACTATGCGGTCCACATACCGGTTATGCGATCGTATATTGGACAACATTTTTAACCTCAATTCGACCAACACACTGACTCACTTTACGGCGATTATGCGGTCCGCATATCTGATATGCGACCGCATTCTCGACCGCAGAATCGCATCTTCTGGAAAACAGTATTTCTTGACTTTTTATAGCATAGAACAGTACAAAAAGGTCTGAACCGCGGCGAGCTTGCTCGATGCAAAGAATTTTACACATTCCTAACACATGTTCTGGACTTGGCACTATGAGTTACCAGGTTCTGAGTAAACGTTTTCACGGGGCCGTACAAATCGTTTCCCCCCTTATCTCACCATGTTTCCACCGGAATCCATGGCGTCTCCGGCCATGGACGGTCTGTACTCATCCTTTCTCACCATCAGACCTAAACTATTCAAGGCTTGAAGCCCGACTTCAATGGCCTTCTTCAAATCCTTCTCATATCTGTAGATCTATGGCTTCTCCGGCCACTATTCCGTCATGTTCAAGCAATATGAGTCTTTTCGACTCAGGATCTGACTTTCCTCAAGACCTTTCTCATTGCTATGGTTTTCTCTGCAACTCCAAGCCGTCTAAGGTTCTGTACTCGCCTAATTATTTTTCAGATCTGTGATATGTCTGGGCTTTACTTGACATTTTTAAAGGTTTTCCCCAAATTTCCTTTTTAAAATCGTTCAATTTTGATTTTAGGGTTTCTGAGAAAGTTTCTTCAAATATCTTTCTGATTCTTTCCATTCTTTCTTCATGTGTGTTTATTTGTGTTAGGATCGTATGTTTTCTTTTCTACTACGTATGAGTTTGCTCCATTATTTCTTTTCTATTATGCAAGACTCTTCTATTTTTGCTGTCACTCTTATGCTCTCATGTAAATCCGTGTTGTTAATCATTATTCTTTGCTATATGTGTTTATGGTTGAGTTCTTTGATTTTGTTCACTTTACTGAGTTCTATTTGTGTTCCTGCTAAGCATATTTCATCTACTTTTGTTTAAAGCTCGTATCAGCTGCTTTCTTCTGAACTTGTTTAAATTCCAAGTTTTCTCGAGCATGTTCTCATGAGTTACCAGGTTCCGAGTACAAGTTTTCACGGGGCCTTACAAGCTCCCCCACTTAAAATCATTCGTCCTTGAATGAGGATTTTGGAAATCGGTTGGTTTGAAAACATGATATGCAAACTCCCAATTTTTTTTTAAAAAAAAATTTTGCCAGAGTTTCCTTTGTAATTAGACTTATCTACCTGTCAGAGAGCCCCCAAAACATTATTTTCAAGCACCATTACGCTATCCCTATCATCCCTACAACTGGTATACAATTTATTACCTCAACACTTGCACATAATTTTGTCACTTCAATGAGTTCCATACAGTTCAACCACTTCAATACACTATACGTACTCCAATTAATCATTACCAATCTGCACTGCCTTTAATCATTCACTTATCACATGAGTTCTTGCAAAACTTTCATTTACCAAAAAGGGGCTTGCGCATGAACCAAATAATCACAACACATACAATTCATGCACAACTTGAGGAGTTACAATAGTAAAGCATTAAGGGAAATATATGGGGTGCCTTTGCACCAGATTGAACACAACATCAGTTTACTTAGAGTCAAGAGTTTGCACGATCACTACTAGACTTGTTCAAACAGATGGGGATATTTTTATTTCATTTCACGTTCCACTTACCATGTGGCTTACTCGATTTGCTGACTTTGCGATAGTACTTTAACTGAAGCAACTTCCTTGTTTCTCAATTTGCGGACTTGCTTATCAAGAATAGCGACCGAAATTTCTTCATATGATAACTCTTCATTGACCTCGATAGCCTCGATTGGCACGATGGTGGATGAGTCTCCAACCACTTTCTTTAACATAGACACATGGAACACCAGGTGCACGAATGACATTTCAGGGGGCAATTCCAGTCTATAAGCCACCTGTCCTATCCTTTGAGTGACCCGATACGGCCTGACATATCTAGGACTCAACTTCCCTTTCTTCCCGAATCGCATGACTCCCTTCATAGGAGATACCCTCAATAACACCCAATCATCTACTTGGAATTCCAATTTTCTTCGACGAATGTTCGCATAAGATTTCTGGCGACTCTGAGCAGCTTTCATCCTTCCCTGAATGATCTTAACTTTTTCCATAGCCTGGTGCATGAGATCTAGCCCTACTAATTCTGCTTCACCCACTTCGAACCATCCAATCGGAGACCTACATCTCCTCCTGTACAATGCCTCAAAGGGGGCCATCTGAATGCTAGAATGAAAGCTGTTATTATAAGCAAACTCTATAAGTGGCAAGTGATCATCTCAATTACCTTTGAAATCTAAGACGTAAGACCGCAACATATCTTCAAGCGTATGAATAGTCCGCTTCGCTTGATCATCAGTCTGCGGATGGAAAGCTGTGCTGAGATTCACCTGAGTACCAAAGCCTTGCTGAAATTTCTTCCAAAAATTAGCGGTGAACTAGGCCCCTCGATCTGAGATAATAGAAAGTGGAGTGCCATGAAGCCTTACTATTTCCTTGATATACAATTGAGCATATTGTTCCGCAGTATCTGTGGACTTGACTGGCAAGAAGTGAGCTGACTTGGTGAGTCGATCTACTATTTCCCAAATTGAGTCAAACTTGCGCTGAGTGCGAGGTAACCCTACCATGAAATTCATGTTGATCATCTCCCATTTCCACATTGGTATTTCCATAAGCTGAGTTAACCCACCGGGCCGCTGGTGCTCTGCTTTTACTTGCTGACAATTCGGACATTTAGATACAAAGTCTGACACAACCCTCTTCATACCGTTCCACCAATAAATTTCCTTGAGATCATGGTACATTTTCGTAGAACCTGGGTGCACAGAATACCTTGAATTATGAGCCTCTGCCATTACCCTCCCCCAAAGATTATCCACATCTGGAACACATAGCCTACCTTGACATCGTAATATACCATCCTCACCACCGAGTGAAAATGTCGAAGTCTTGTTATTCAAAACTGCCGCCTTCAGCTGTGCTAATGCTGGATCAATGAGTTGCTTTTCCTTGACTTCCGCTACAAGTGACGATTCTGCTCCATTGCGCACCATAACCTTCCCCTCATCTTAAGTGGAAATACAAACCCCATGACTGGTCAATTAATAAACCTCCCAAGCTAAAGGCCTCTGATCAGCTCCCAAATGAGCCAAACTACCCATGGACTTCCGACTGAGAGCGTCGGACACCACATTCGCCTTCCCTTGTTGGTATAAAATATCCATATCATAATCCTTGATCAATTCTAATCACCATCGCAACCCTAAATTCAACTCCTTCTACTTGAACAAATATTGGAGACTCTTGTGGTCCGGGAACACATCCACATGGACCCCATAAAGATAATGCCACCATATTTTCAAGGCAAATACAACTGCCACAAGCTCCAAATCATGCGTCGGATAATTCTTATCGTGATTCTTGAGTTGCCTTGAAGCATACCCTATAACCTTCTCATGTTGCATCAACACACACCCCAAACCGACCCTGGAGGCATCGCAATAAACCACAAATCCTTCTATGCCTTCCGGCAAGGTCAATATCGGCGCCGAGGTCAATCTCGACTTCAATTCCTGAAAACTTTTCTCACAAACATCGGACCATTGGAACTTAACTACTTTCTGCGTCAACTTAGTCAAAGGGAGGCGAGGGTAGAGAATACCTCCACAAACCTCCGATAATACCCGCTAAACCCAAGAAGCTACGGATCTCCGTCGGGGTCATGGGTCTAGGCCAATCTTTTACTGCTGCAATCTTCTGGGGATACACCTGAATCACTTCACTAGAAACAACATGGCCCAAAAAGGTAACGAACTCCAACCAAAATTCACATTTTGAAAATTTAGCATACAACTGGTGCTGATAAAGGGTCTACAGAACTGCCCTGAGATGATTGGCATGATCCTCCCGGCACCGCAAATAAACAAGGATGTCATCAATGAAAACAATCACAAAGGAGTCTAGAAACAGCTTGAAGACCTGATTCATAAGATCCATGAAAGCTACCGGGACATTGGTTAGCCCAAAAGACATGACCAAGAATTCAAAGTGACAATAGCGAGTTCTGAAAGCGGTCTTAGGAATATCATGTTCTCTGATCTTTAATTGGTGATACCCGGACCGTAGATCAATTTTGGAAAAGAACCTCGCACCTTGCAATTGGTTGAACAAATCATCTATCCGAGGAAAAGGATATTTATTCTTGATTGTGACCTTGTTAAGCTGCCGATAATCACTACACATATGGAGTGACCCATCCTTCTTTCTGATGAAAAGAACCGGGGCACCCCACGGTGACACACTTGGTTGTATGAACCCATTTTCTAATAAATCCTTCAGTTGTTCCTTTAACTCCCTTAACTCCGCTGGCGCCATTCTGTATGGTGGAATAGATATCGGTTGCGTACCTTGCAATACATCAATGCTGAAATCAATCTCCCTATCTGGCGGGATCCTTGGAAGCTCGTCCAAAAACACTTCAAGAAACTCATTCACGACTGGCACAGACTCGGGGACAAACACTTCTGAAGTGGTGTTCGCCACTCGGACCAAATAGTAGATACACCCCTTCCTAATCATCTTCGAAGCCTTAAGGTTGGAAAGAAACCTACCTTTTGGAACCACACCATTTCCCTTCAACTCAATAACCGGCTCATTAGGGAACTCAAGCCTCATGACTCTCGTTCGGCAGTCAAGCTTAGCAAAGCACGAATAAAGCCAGTCCATTCCCTTGATCACATCAAAATCCACCATTTCAAGCTCAATAAGATTGGCCGTGGTAGCACGACCACATACCATGACAACACAATTCCTATAAACTCGCGCGGCTATAATATAATCACCAACCGGAGTCGATACAGAGAACGACTCATGAAGCTGTTCAGGTTCTATCCCAAAACTTGAAGCAATGAATGGGGTGACATAAGAGAAAGAGGATCCCAGATCAATAAGAGCATAACAATCAATGGCCTGAACAGACAAGATACCTGTAGCAACATCTGGGGAAGCCTTTGCACTCTAGCGACCACTCAAGGCATAAAACTGGCCGGGTCCCCCTCTACCACGAGCTCCACCCCTAACTGCACCGTGCCCTGTTGGGGTGGGAGGATGCACGGATGATGTGGTGGCTGAAGAACCGGATGGCTGAGTAAATCCCCTACCCGTTCCCTGAACGGTCACACGATAGTCCCACTAGATATGACCTCTCACCCCGCATCTATAACACATCGGAATATCCAAATAACAAGTCTCGGAATGGAACCTCTCACACTTGGGGCATTAAGCCCTCCCCTGCTGCTGTGATCTCCCTCCTGGACGACCGGAATGATGGGGTCTCCTACTATCTGAACCTGATCTCAAGTGACTGCTCTGCTGATAACTGTGCACTGATGGCGGTGCGCTTGCTGAGGACTGGGCATATGACCGGGATGGCCCTGATGGCCCTCTCCCCGGAACTGGTCTCCCTGAGTAACCCGCTGATCGGGCCCTGCTTTTACTCTCACTTTCTGCCCGTATTTTCAACTTTCAAGCCTCTGTGGCCTGAGCAAATCCCACAATCTTCCTATAATTCATATCTGAGTGTAAGGCTGCTATAGCAGCCTCATTTACAACCAAAGGACTAATTCCCTGAACGAATCGCCGAACTCGAGCATCCATGGTCAACACTAACTGAGGAGCATACTTGGATAACCTCACAAACTCCATGTGGTACACCCAAACACTCATACTGCCCTGCTTGAGGACCTCAAACTCTCTGGCATGGGCCGCCATTGCCTCGGCAGGTAGGAAGTGGTCCATGAAGGCATCTACAAATTCATCCCATCTAGCCGTAGGTCTTTCCTCCCCACGGGAATCCTCCCACATCTCGAACCACGAATACGCTGCTCCCCTCAACCTGTATGAAGCCAGCTCAAACCCCTCCATCTCTGTAGCCTTCATCACTCGCAGTGTCTTATATATTTCATCAAGGAAATCTTGCGGATCGGCCTCTAGGTCTGTGCAAGTGAACTCTGGAGGGGCCAACCGCAGAAACTGGTTGACTTTGGAGATGGCGGAATCTCCCTGTCCGATGGAGGCGTAGGGGCGCCATAAGATCTCTAGGCCTGAGCGACCACTAACCTGGTCAATATATGGATTTCTCCTCTAAGGTCCCCGTCAGAAACTCCGGGGCCGAAAGCTGGACTGCATCAAGATCAGGAATATCAGCGGGAGGGATAGTAGCACCCTCTACCGCAGCTCGAACAGGAATACTTGGATCTGGAATAGATAGGCCAGGAATATTCAAGACCAGGGAGTCACTCTCACCCACGACATCAGGTACATGATTTACAACCATACTTGGGGTGGCATTGGCCCTGAGGCTGAGTCTATCTCTCTTCTTAGGTGCCATTACTGAAAATTTGGAATAGAGCACGAGTTAGATGTAAATACTTCTACTTTTCACTTCACCGCATGATATAGAGTAACAAAGAAGAAGGTAATTTCCTAAATGCCCGTGTAGCCTCCAACTTATGGATGTGGTCGACAACACACCAATAAGAAGGACTCTACTAGACACGGCTCCGAGACATCCTAGGACACTTTAAAACCTTAGGCTCTGATATCAAGTTTGTCATGCCCCAAAAACCGAGGGGCACAACCGGCGCCCTACCAGGTAGCCCCAGCCAGGCGGACCTGGGTGCCTTTCCTATCCCACGCGTACCCCGTATTTCCATTGTCCATTAATCAAAGAAAATAGTCATTTATAATTAAAACACCCTTTTTACAAAACATACATAGTCACTTAATGAGGTTTACAACTTACAACGCCCAATATACAAAATACATATTTACATAAGTTCGCAACCCACATTCACTGTCTATGGAGCCTCTAAGGATACCAAAGGCTGATACAATACTTGCCGGTTACAAGGCTCCGGCTATACCATACACCAAAAACCAAAACAAGACTCTGAAATAAAAAGCGACATGAGCCACGCAAGGCCCCGGGACGAAAAGGGCTCACCAATGCTTCTGGCAGAAAGTAAAGGGGAGCTACGGTCGGTGGACTGGATTACCTGCTATGGATCCACCTACAATCATAACATGAATGTAGAGGCCCCGGCAATAGGGATGTCAGTACATTTGAATTGTACTGGTATGTATGAACAAACTTGCCCTAATTAAACTCAAACCAAACACAAGTAACAAGTAGTAATGGAATAAACAATGAAATACACATGAAAGAAAACAATCAAGCCAAACAAGTTACAATCTCTCCATTTCTCCTTCAACATTTTCACATCAATGACTTCATAACTTTTCTCATATTTTCATTTCAATAGTGATTTAGATCACTTTCCACCCTTATTACCTCGGTCACCCTTATTACCTCAACCACCTTTATCACCCCAACCAACACTTTATCAATTTGCGTTGCGGCGTTCAACCCGATCCCACCTGACAATTTATCTATTTGTGTTGCGGCGTGCAACCTGATCTCACCTGACAATCCTATTTCACACAACAACAGTAGTTCATAGTTCAATCACATGGCTTCAGGCCATCCAGAATATCATTTCACAACATCAACAATTCACAAGAATTTTCATAAATATCAATACCAATTCCATCATATACAACAACCGTATACAATTCAAATCACAACGATAACTTCCCACAATGAGTCACAGATGATATTACCACTGTTTTTTCAGTTGCATCAATTACGATTTCTTTTCCATCATTTGTTACACAGCTCTTACCACATAACACATTCGCAATCATACGTTTGGTTTATTGCCACTTACGTAGACAATTATATCGGTAGACTTAACCACGAACAATCAAATCATACCAATCACAAGAATTCCACAAATAATCCACATAGATATCACATACCAAATATTCGTACACCAAACAAGGTGACTTTACAAAGGTCAAAGTCAACCATACATACCTGGAGTCCAATTCCCCTTTTAACTTCTACTTTCACTTAACCAACAACCTAGTACCGTCAATATAGTTCACAAGTTAACACATATAACTTAGAATTGAAGTTCACAAACTCAACCCG